AGCCAGCGGCTCCAGAGGGTTGGGGTGGGGGCGGGGCTCTGGCGGCTTTTTTTTTTTTGCTCCGCCCCCTCTCCACCTCCCCCCCCCCCCCGGCGTCCCGATATTTCATCTTTGGTATCTGGTCACCCTAACAGTATATTTACAACCCAAGTTATTATAGGGAGGATTTTATCAGACGAGCTGTTGATAGGTATTGTTTAGACAAAAAAAATCTCGGTGGGGGGCTCTATCGCCCCAGCTTTTCCCTCAGCTGGGCCCGGAGGCAGTGTTGCTCCTGCAGCAGGATCTCCAATCTTTGAAGCAGCCTGCTTCTCTCTTCAAGGGTTTGGGTCCCCAATGTAGCCTGCTCTGCTCTTGTGGGGTGTAACAAAGTGGCCTTTGGTGGGACATTACTGAGAGTATCAATTCAGGACAAATTGCTTAGAGCAGGGCAGTCACAGCCCACGGGGGGTCCTTCACTACTAAGGCACCAAACCAGCCAGACAGAGAGGACTTTGGTCTCACCCCACTGGCTAACCAGAAGTCAAACAAGCAATTCCCTTAGACACTCCAGTTTCCCAGTATTACCACCAGCACCTCTCCTTATGGGGATGAATGGTTATGAAAACCAATAGCCCAGTAAAAGAAAAATGGTTCTCCCGATCCCAAAGGACCAAGCCCCAGACCCAGGGCAATATACAAGTCAGATCTTACCCACAAATCACGCTGTGGCCAATCCTTTAGAATCTAAAATCTAAAGGTTTATTCATAAAAAGAAAGAAATATAGATGAGAGTTAAAATTGGTTAAATGGAATCAAATACATACAACAATCGCAAAGTTCTTAGTCCAGGCTTGTTTCAGGTTTGATGGGATTACTGCTGATTTAAACCAATCAAGTCTCTAGAGTACAAACATCCTAGCTTGGATGGGTGGTTCAGTCCTTTATTCAGAGCTTCAGTTTATAGCAAGGTCCCTCCAGAGTTCAGAAGCAGGATTTAAGATAAAATGGAGGGGTTTCCAGGGCCTTTTATATCCTCTGCCTTGTGGAAGGACCCCTTTGTTCTTACTGTGGAAAATCACAGCAGCAAGATGGAGTTTGGAGTCACATGGGCAAGTCACATGTCCATGCATGACTCAGTTTGCAGGTAGAGCAGCCATTGCTCACATGCTCCCTTGAACGTTCCCAGGAAGGCTCCTCAGATGTGGATTGGAGTCTCCCAAGGTCCATAGTCAGTTAACTGTTTCTTGACTGGGCACTTACTGAGAATAGTCTCTTCTCAAGAGGCTGACCAAATGCTTCACTGAGGCTACTTAGAATTAAAGACATTGAGATACAAGTACATAGCCAATATTCATAACTTCAAATACAAAAATGATACACACATTCAGACAGTATAATCATAACCAGCAAATTACAACATTTTCATAGACACCTTACTTGACCTCCTTTGTACAAGATCTTCCGTGTCTGTCACCAGTTAGATTAGCTGATAATAGGTGTGTCCCTCCCTCCCTGTGTGGTGCAGTGAAAATGAAGAGAAGACGAGGTAATATAGTACAAACAAAAGTAGGTGTATTAAGGGTAAAGGTACAGAAACTGGGTAAAATAGGGGGAGAAACACGGGCCTAAACAAACAGTGAATCAGTGACTGGTTTAGGTGCTTGAAACTCAGACCCACAAAATCTCCCTTGGTATTCGCGAAAACAACAAACGATACCCCAATACAGAAACCTCTCCCTGCTATTTCTAGGCACCGTGGGCACAATATACGGATGCGAGGCTGAGGACCGTCTACTCTCCGGCTGATTGGGAGCCTTCGAGGAGGACCACTGGGGAGTCCCGATGACGAATGGGCTTCGTCGCAGGTGGGGAGACCCCCTGGGATGCTGACCACCAGGAAAGTAGCAGGACCCTTCACAGGGAAGGTGGATTTAGGGTGACCAGATATCCCGATTTTATAGAGACAGTCCCGATTTTGTGGTCTTTTTCTTATATAAGTCCTATTAGCCCCCAACCCCTGTCCCGATTTTTCACATTTGCTGTCTGGTCACCCTAGGTGGATTTGCTGTGGTGGGGATGGTGATGATAGGCCTCTCCTTCCTCAGTCTCGCTTTGTCTTGCTTTGGGGCCTAAACAAAGGCTTCTCTTTGCAAAGTCTTCAGGGAGATCAGCAGCATACAGGACAGAACCCCTGCCATTCAGGGTGTGCTTACCCCAGAAAAAAACAAACAAAACCCCACACCCTTTTTCTTCCTTTCTAGGTTTATTTTAGTTCCATACCCTGCTACACATGCACACCAGTGTGGGTTTTGGTTAGAGTGAACCCTCATTCCAGGCATATTTGGTGCAGGTCTCTTTCCCTTTTGTTACCTGACAGGGGTAATGATGTTCGATCACTCCTGAACTCTAAACTTAACTGCATATTGACCAATATGTGCTAGACCAGGGGTTCTCAACCAAGGGTACACATACCCCTAGGGGTACACCGAGGTCTTCCGACATAAAAAGTAGCCCAGTCAATACAAACTGAAATTTCAAACAGGCAAAAGGAGAAAGTCAGCAATTTTCCAGAACTAATGAGCTGTGACACTTTGGGGTTTTTATGTTGGATTTTGTAAGCAAGTCATTTTAAGTGAGGTGAAACTTGGGGATCCGCAAGACAAATCAGCCTCCTGCAAGGGTTACAGTAGCCTGGAAAGGTTGAGAACCCCTGTCCCAGACTGTCCCACAGCTGCAATGTAAATAAGGCCTGGCCCAGTCAGTCATTTCCCCCTGCTCAGCAGCAGATGGCAGCAGAGAGCTCCCTCCCCTAGGGAGGTTCTGTACACATGGTGCCCTGGGCTGCACTTCTCCCTGTTCACCAACAGGTGTCCCTAGTGAGCAACCGGCTCTCTAGGGCGTCAGGCCCCAGTGTTATGCTTAAAAGAAGAAGACGAGATCTTTTTCAGGGGGATAAGGCAACATGCCGCATTTATTAATAATGTAACAGAGTAGCATATGCATTAATACACACACACACACACACACACACACACACACACACACACACACACACACACACACACACACACACACACACACACACACACTAC